TTTCATAGGTCTTGCACTAAGTTGAGGTGCGTACTAATTTTAACGTTATTAATTAAAATCACTCATGTTTATTCTGAACTGATCTAGGTTTGACTTAGATTCAGTGTAAGATAGACAGTTAAGTCACGTAATCCTGCAATGAACGTTTTGAGTTTCAATTAGAATAATAATAATAATATAAAGTTCTTAAATTTTATAGTAACTGTTCTTAATTTCTGTAACTAAATATCCAACTGACGTAGTTCAGTCTCATATAACTGTTAATTATCTTTACCAGGTTACTAAAATGACTTGCAACCTATATGTAAGCATTATATTTTCTCACAACTGTAAATGAATAGGGCAATGGATAAGTAGCCATTGAGTTTTTGGGGTCTAAAAAGCGCTTCAAGTACAAAAAATTACTATGTATGGTACAGTGGAATGCTTTTTTTACATTTTCAAAGCTACGACTCTGCCAGCTCTCTACATATGAGTTTGTTTGTATCGAGCCTTACTCCGCCGAAAATAGTAATAAAATAAAATATTTTGAAAGTGAATGTTATATTTTGACATATTATACTCCTACAGTGAGCACATAAGTAAATTTGCTGGAGAGTTTAAACACAAGGAAAGTTTAGTTTCTATATTACATATAAATAAAGAATAATCTTCAGTTACATTGCGGTCCCACCCTTCTTCCTTTACTCTAAGTGTGTCTAATGCCACTAATCTGACACTCTGGGAAGAAGTTTACTAGTGATCGAGGTGTTGCATTACAAATTAAACATTTCTGTCTCGACAAATGTAAAGAGACTTTTTGCTATATTTCTCTTTTTGAATATTTTGAAACACTTCATTCCCCTCACATGCATGAAAACTTTGTTTGTTGTGAAGCTGTTATTTCTAAAACAATTTATTACTAAATTATTATCCAATAATTTGGTTCCTCCACGCTATTACAAGTGAGTGTTATAACGTTGTTGCATTATATACATATAAATTGCACAAATCACAACAAGAGTAGAAAAATGATAAGTAGGTAACTTCACAGAACCTTAATTGCAAGATAGTACACTTTAAAACTGTTCATAGAACTTCACTTGATACCTCTCCCACTAAAAAATAATGTCCAAACTAAACCCCATACCCAAAGTCTACACTTTCTAAGACAGCATCAGGTTACTCATGATGGGGAAGGCGACTGGCAAGATTTTCGAACAAGTCTTTTCCATTAGTCATTATGTTAAGACTGATATGCCGATTATTTGCTAGAAACTCTCCAAAATATCTTAGAAACATTAATTCCAAAAGCCAGACTGTGGGGTTGTAATGTCTTTTCAGTAAATGCAAACAAATTACACTAATGCAACAGGATAGGAGTTTAAAAAAATTATCCCACAGAACCTTTTTGCTAGATCACCTTATTTTTGCAACAGTTCTTGGATACTTCTACTAAGATACTGTTCAAACTAAACCCCATTTATTTCAAAGCCTACGTCTCCCACTGCATCGGGTTACCAAATGTGTCCTTAAATACATTTAGTCACTAATTTAATACTTGGGAACACTTGCTAATGACTTCAGGATCATGTTACAGCATTTCCTGAATGTCATCTCATATTCTTGCCATCCCTGGCAAAGTGATGATCGTTTTATTTGATTATTTGGAGTAAAGGATAATTTGTTAGTAACTGTCTGCTATAGCTAAATAAATTTTAGTTAGTAAATTGGCAATTGTTCCCATTTTAGTGCACTTGTCCTACTGCTACACTTAGCTCTTACTATATCTTTGGTCGCCTATAACTTTGCTCAGCTGTGAGTCTCCTTCCTCCTTTATTTCTAGGTGTGCGTTATTTGCTGTGAGCCAATCCTCTTGAAAATAAATTTCAACCCCTTATTCCGAACTGTTTTTGATATCTTTTTACTGGTATGAGATATCTAATAAAAACTTAGATAAACCCGCTGTATCAAACATTTTCATGAAGCTAAACTCAACCTGTTGCTCAATGTACTATATTGAATAAGTCAAATTTGCAATGTATTCGAATGTCCAATTCATTCTAGATACCCCTATTTCAATTTCTACCACATAGCACTTGTTAAGAAACAATCTCAAATCACACCTGGGCTTTAAAAACACTTCACTAAGCCTCATGTTTTGTTAACTGGCTAACGTAAATAAACATTTACCGCTGATGTAAAGCTTATAATGGGTCACACTCCCCCTGTCAATGTGTTATAGTGTTGATATAGGGCTGAAAAGGCTTTGTCTGAGTGATTTGAAAATAATTGCTTTTATGGAGTGGTTTTGCATATTCGCTCTATACAAGACTCCAGACAAGTTTGATGAGGAGTTAATTTTAAAATATTCAGGAAAATTTGGTATTTTACTTGTGGTTTTGTTAAATTTTCTATCTCTAGGAATAAGGGTCTAGAAAAGTATAGATATTTATGAAATTATCAACTCATCTAACTTGGAACGCTATAATTGGTTGTTTTGTAGGTTTTTTAGTGTCCATCCAACTTCCATGAATCCAATTGACGTTTCCTCGACCCTTGACCCCTGAAAAATTCTCCTAATTTAAAAAAATTAAATGCAAAATTTTCAATGCTTATTTTGGAAGTTTTTTGAAAAGTGGGCGAAATGGATGCTCGAGGAGACATCCATAAGTCAAGTGTCAAAATGATTGTCATATTTTGTCTCACAACCTGTTGGATTGGTGTCATTTGTGAAAGACAATCCGGTGCAACACTTTTTTTTCCATAATCCATTATCCTTCTTTATATTTTTAAGTTATATCGTGCTCCTCCCTGACAACGTCTAAGGTTGAAATGTCTGGACACTGTCTTTCCCCCCTGATTCTAAATTGCTATACCATGGCTACTCAACTATTTTTATCAAAGATCCGCATACAAAACTCCAAAATTATTTGGGTCCGGTCTTTCCAGAAATTATATTTTGGCATCCTTTAACACGCACTTTCTCGACCGGCTAATGAATATTAGCTAATCAAGATTGCTTATTACAGTGTTATAGTTCTTTTCATATATATTCATAACTATAAAAGTCATTTTATGAAAGGAAACTTTAAAAGTGGGGTTAATGATCTAAAATAAAGAATTAGGTGCGGTCCGAATCAAATACTCGAAAGGTTCGATTTGGACCGCGGATTGCCTGTTGAGTAGCTCTGCCGTATACCTGGTACCACTATACCTAGTCCTATGCAGTTATGGTGATTGTTGCTGTGGTTTCTAACAACGCTTAGTAATGCTTGGCTTATCCTCAATCAAAACATTTATCAGGAAGTGGCAATGCTGACCTCTGAACTTCCTTGTTAGAAAAATATTTTGTCAGTTTTGTTAGGGAAACGTGAATTCTGACAAGAGCACTTGTTCTCAATGTCTGGCTAACACACGACTTGACCCTAACTATTAAAATAACATTTCTTTGTCAAGAAAAACATGCCTTCCTTTGTTACTTCCTTAAAGGGTCATCCCAGGGTCAATATCATGTTGGATTCCCACCTGTGTTATATTCCATTTGTACAAAAGAAATTCTGATTGAGTTTTTACAGGGCCATCTAATAGATACTGTTACTGACAACTAGTTTCTAATGTACTGCACATTATTCTTGACAACGTATAAACAAAGTATTTGGTAGAGTTAGAAAATATAAAAAAGTTTTTTGATGAAAATAAATTGGCAATTTTCGAATTATACCTCAATTCATTCAATGTATATTAGCCATGCTTTTTATATTATTACCTCCAAACTTATTCAATGGAAAACTACTAACACAGAAAAACCATATCTATTAGAAACTTCCCATTCATGGCCAATGAAAATCATTTGAAATAGACACTTCCGATTCTTAGCCAATCGAAAATCTTAGCCAGTGAAATAAGGAATCAAAAAGAAATAATTCTGAGTAATAGTCTGTTTCTAATGAACCTCCGTGACCTGACTGAGTCCAAAGTAATTTCCTTCTACAGTCATAGAACTGTGATGACAGCATTTCCTTTATGTCTTCTTGGAGGGTTTTTCGTAAACAACTTAGCATTGGTGTGGTGCGCTAACCAGACAGGGCAGGCCTTCGCTTCTTGTTTATAGCAGTAGTTCTGAAACTTTATAACCGTTTTTGGTATTTGTCAAGACTCGCGCCTCTCCTCAGAAATAACTAGCTAACAATAAGCTAAAATAACAAATAGTAAGGCGAAAGTAATATAACAGATAATAAAAATAACAACAATCACTACAGCTCTCTGCAATCTCTAAACAATAAAGAAATGTAAATATAAGACGGGCAAAATCCAAACTAATGAATAATTATCTTCATGCCTCCCCTCAAATTAATTGTCCACACCCCTCCTGTGGGCCACGCCCACCACTGGTTAATAGTGAAGGTGTGAATATGTTTTATAAAAATAATCAGATGAGCAGAAGACACACAGTTGTTTATAAAGTAAACTTTAATTTTCGTACTTGTGCACTTTAAATCAATGCTGATTTTTGAATTGGGCAGTTTTCTACCCACATGCATGGCCAAATAGGAAATATGCAAGTCCGTGCGTCTGAAAACAAAATAATAACTGATGAATTACACCTATATCCTTCATGGAACGGTAACCGAACGAGAAGCCGTGGTGATTAAGTCGTCTTTCCTATTTTCCTAAATTAATATGTCAATCCTATCTTAAATGTATTTGAATTTTCATCCATCTCTCGGTGCTCCCGTAGTATGGGAACCAAGATGGCGGACACCAGACATTAGTATGTGTACCAGGTTAGGGTCAGTCAATAATTTCATTCCAATTTTTCTCATTTCAGTTCTATTTCAAGTTCAGGGACTAGCCAAGTGACTCTTGTAGTATTTGTACCTAATATTTGGTACATATATTACTATCCGGTGTCCACCATCTTTTTTGTTCACATACTTCGGGAGTACCTATCTCTCAACTGAATCTAGAGACTTGTTTACCAATGGCAGGATAATAACATTTGCAAATTTTTATTACAGGCTCATTCATCACCCCCTCTCATCTCAGCTGAACGGATCATGGCGGGATTTCGAGCGCGAAATCATGTGATCGCAGACAGAATAGAGGAAGAAGATGAGGTAGATCATAGATCCTTTGGGGTCGATGGTGATGAACCAGGAAGTGACCCATATAACTCAAACCAGGAAGCAGGAGATAAGAGTGATAGAAGTACTGCTTCTAGGAAAAGGGAAGCTTTGTAAGATGTTAATATTTTTTGAAACCATCTTTTCTGACCTTGTTCACCTATAAACGAGCAGAAATTTTTGCTAATACTAGTTAAGCGGATAGCCCTAGCTATTTTTTTTGTTATGAGAATTTGCCCAAACCAATGTCACGTATACTCACTCTGGGGTAAGGTAGACTTATCTCCATGTACAGTTACGGGAGACTACTAAGAGCTACTGGAACTATATTGGGCAGTGGTTCCCAAACTTTTTAGAGTTGCGACCCACTATTTATTACCACAGCTTCTGGCGACCCATTTAACTTTTTATGACATAACAAAGAACACAGCAATGGCTAATCATCGCAAAACTACCGTGTTTCCTCGAAAATAAGACCTGGCCTGAAAATAAGACCTAATTTGAATTTTAAAAATGATTTTAATTGAACCCTACCCTTAAAATGAATTTAAAATGTGTGGGAGAGGAATGGTTCAATGACCTTAGGTGGAGATCACACCACTATTTAAGATTGTGTGATGTCACAATCACAATTATGATATTTGTCACTTGATTTTTGTATAGGAAATACAAATAATAACAATAGATGTCGGTTTTTATATAAAGTTTATTAAAAAATCTCGTTATCTACCATGTAATTTTATTTTTGATGAATGAACACAAAAGACCTCTTCCAAAAAAAACATAGTGTTATTCTTCAAAAGAAAATAAATCTAAATCCTGTCTAAATTTCGGGGAAACACGGTATGAAGTGCTGTGCAGTGTACAAAACTGCTATGCGTAAAAACGCCACATGGTCATTCTTTGTGTAGCATTTTTTTCTGTTTTTTGTTTCGACCCATAGTTTGGGAACCGCTGATATAGGGTATTTATAACAAACACTATGGGCAAGCTAGTAAGTATTTGATTGAGACTTCGGATCTTTAACCTTTAACATCTTTCGTCCTGAGCTTGACGAAGCCAGGAATTTTCAAATGGGGGTGTTCTGAAATTTCTAAGTTGGACCGAATCAGCTCTGAAAAACTTGGGTTTTCAAGAGTTCTGACCCTCAATCCATGACCCCAATGGATATGTCCCTGCTTCTAGGTACTAAGTTTTAATCACGAATCGTCAGAACAATTTACTACTCCTAATATGCTTGGAAACAATATTTGGTTGTTATCTCAAATTGAGTCGTTCCGAACGTCAATTCTAAAAAAAGCATCAGTATTGAAAATTACATTCCTTCCTGTTCAGTTTATCTAAATATTAAGTTTGAATCTAAATATGATAAGTTTTTAAATGAAAAAATCTTGAGTTATTTCTAAATTCATTGCATTCATGTATTTTACCATTCTATTATATGTTCCAGCATTCAACAGCACCAGTGGAGAATTCCTTCTGCAAGGAAGCAAAGTGGCCCAAGCTTTGATCAAGATGAAAAAGGTACATTAAATTTTTGTTTGCATATGATTTCATTTTAGGGTGGGAGCAGATCTTTGACCTTTGGGCCCAATGCTTTTACCCCGGGTTTCCCAAACTTTTTGGGTCGTGGACCCCTATTCCACAACTAATGGGACAAAGTTACCTGAAGGTTATTACTTTTTTTTTTTTTTAATTTTTCTGGTGTTCTACAGGCCCAAATTTACAACCTGGTATCGGGGTCAGTTGTAAATTTTTTTCTCCGTCGTCACAGGTCTTGCACAAGGTCAGAGCCTGGTAACTGCACAAGAAACTGTGGTTCATCATGTTATTTTGCCAGCTTATCTTTTATACTTTTTTTTCTCTCTTCCTACAAGTAACATTGAGTCAGAGCTCAGTGTTCCTACGGGGCCCGATATCTGACTCCAAATTATGGGATAGATATGTTGCTAGACTCCTCGCCATCGTAGGGCGGTTCACGTAAACCGCTGGTCAGTTACGACTTCCTCAATCATCAAATCCATGCATACGAAAACAAATAACAGGCTAACTAATCCCATACTTGGCATGGACATGTAACCGGACGAGAGGCAGTGGTTCGCCATATGATTAAGCCGCCTTATCGACATTCCTCCCCATCCGGATAAATATGTAAATCCTATCCTAAGTGTAATTTCTTTTCTTCAAAACTCCTATTCTTTTTTCTCTTTCTACAGGTAACATTGACACAGAACTCAATGTTCTTCGAGAAAGCACAGTGTTATCAGTAAAGAGATTGAAAGACTCAGAACTACGAGCTCAGAATTCAAACAATAAAATACGAGAACTGTCAATCAATATTAAAATGAAAGAAGAATTGATTAAAGATCTTGTCAGAACAGGTAAAATATAATAGATTTTTTAAACAATGTATTTATATGCTTTTCTCTCCAAACAAAACTCTACACAAAAAGACACAGATATGTAAGAAAGCGTAAGCTGTGGAAACTGTGAAAGTGTGCTTGAGCCACCGACTGGACTGGACCGAACAGTCATTGATTCAAACTGTAATTGAATACCAGCTTAAAAAGCTTCTATATCTTTGTGAAATTTCAAACAAAATTTTTTATACTTCAATATTTGCTTGAAACTCTCCATATATAAAGTGTCCATAAAGTCTTAAAATTTCAAAGGGAATTTATCGATACCATGTATCGTTTTAGCCCTTACAGATGTATTAAATGAAGTCAAAATACATAAACAATTACTGATTAAAAAACAACAAACCTGGTTAAGATATATTCAGAACTGACTTGAAAATATTAAATAGTAAATAAAAATCTAAATAAGAGATACTAGAAAAAGCAACTACCAAAAGTAAATCATTTGATAACTGACAAAATTCAAATCATAAAGGGACTTTATGTACAACTTACTTATTCCCAATATTTTTTCTCAGGCCATGATGCAGAGGCAGTGAATCGTGATTACTTGACGAGGATACTAGTTCTTGAAAAAGAAGTTCAAACTGCGAAACGTGAATTACTGGATTCACATAAAGCTTTGCAAAATGGAGGGAGTGAACAGGTCAGTTAAATTTTATTTGACTTTGTTTAATGAAAGGGCCTAAATTTGCGTTTTGCCTCCTCAAATCAACTCTATCGGTTTTAGCATGTTAGGTACCTTTACAATTTAATAAAAATTTAAGACTTCATGGACTCCTTATATAATTCTAAACAGTGAATTTTGTATTTGATTATTCTTTTATTCTGACAAACTTTGTTTTGTTTCAGGAGCTTCAAAAGCTGAAGACTGATTATGAGCAGAAGCTGAAAGGTGCAAAATCCAAAGTCCAGGTAATGATCTCTTGCATCGGTTTCACTTTCAGTGTCACCAGACATAGAAACTTTGGCGCTCCAGAAGTGTGTGTACCAGTATGGAGTTAACTAATTTTGTTCGCCTACTTTACATCAAGTTGTGTAAAGGGACTGAAACCTATGGGCAGGGGGATATCCACTTGGCTAACACAGACAGTCCCTAAATTTGTAATAGAACTAAAAGAAGGAAAATCGAAATAATATTATGACCGAACCCTAACCTGGTACACATACATTGGCATTGTTGGCCTTTCCAACCCAATTTATTTCACCCTGGAATGTTGTATAACCTACATTCCTGAACATTTCTACTGTCAATAGATGCTTCAGAAAAAGCAGAGAGAAACTGAGAGGATTGCAACCATCCCATCGCAGAATAAAAAGAAGATTAAAGAACTGGAAATTGGTATGAAGTTCATATTTTTTTTCAATTTTTGGATTCTTCATGTTTGTGATATTGTGAAGTTGTTAAATTATCGCTGATTCGAAAGAGGATGCTGTTGTAGGAGAAGTCGGAGTCTGAGTGAGATGACTGAAATAGGTTGTCGCCTACGCGGGCCACAAAATTATTTTTGCATTGTTCACGACCACAATACTACCAAGAATAGGTAAACAGTGCAATACAAAACAAACACCTTTATTGTGCAAACACATAGTTATTAGGCATAGCCATTCTAGGCTAATAGATTCTGCATTCGATTTTTAGTTTTCTATGATGCCTATATTGTTAGCATATATTCCCGACCAAAAAGTTAGAAAGCCAGATAATAATTTAGACTGCCAAGCACATCATTCAACTTCGCTAGTTTCCCCAGCTAGCCATTATTTAATTCAGTGACATTAGTGATGACAATATGTCAAAAGATTTTACTGATTAATTTTATGACGGAACAACACGAAACGCAGTTTTTTGATTACTCTCCAAATGTGAAGCGGGCCACAGATAAAGAAGCGGCGGGCCACATGTGGCTCGAGGGCCTGGGTTTGGACAACCCTGTCCTATATAGTAAAATTTTCGGAGCTTTCACTATTTCCCTTAAGCTCGACGGGCCATTTTAAATCATTACGCGGGCCGGATTTGACCCACAGGCTGTTGTTTTGGGAACCCCTGTTTTAGATGAACCAACATAAATTTATAATGATTAATGTAATTTTCCATATAAACTTTCCCCAATTAAGATTGTATTCGATATTCCATATTCGAAAATATTTTTTAAGAATGTATTCGGAATAGTGAAATATTTGGTTTTAGCCATCCATGGGACCAACATTCTAATCACCGGGCCATTGCATCCACCACAGCTTTAAATGCCATGATAGACTTATGTGATAACAACTCACTTGTTTCCAAACTTTCGGGATCTTTTTCACCCTCCTAAAGACTCTTGTGGTCCCTGGTACGAAGCACATGATAATTTAATAACATCCCAGAAAAATGCATCACATAACACATAATAATGGAAACTACTATTTAAAGTTTAACTGGGAAAAACTTAATATCGTAACACTTTGTTTTGCAATACTAGTGATAACATAAGTCGCACTAAAAACTAGGGTTTTAAAAGGCCATTTCCTTAGCTTTTTTGCATAGATAACTTCCTGTTTTGTTTTTCTTTGTGGGGCATATAATCAAAATATGTTTATTGAAACCTGTGAGCCAGGATAAGTGCATGTACGCAAGCGCAGACCATACGATTTTCATGAATACCCAACACGCTGTTCCGAATTGGTGGCAATTTACACTAATGTCGAGCGGATTGGTCGCACCTATATTAAGGAAAAATTTGCGACCTATCTGCGAGTAGATACATAGCAAAAACTTCCACTCATGGCCCTCAGAGAAACACTCTTTAACTATGAAGGGTTGCTAAGTTTGGGAAACCCTGTGCCATACACTAGTCAAGTCAGAATAAATATGGGTTTGCAATGGTACAAATTCAATTCCATTTCATTTTCTAGGTATTGCAGCGATGCGTCAAATGCAAGAAGACATGCAGAAGAAATTGAAAACAGAACAAGATCAGAAAAGAAAGCTCGAATCTGAATTGAGTAAAGATCAAGCAAAAATAAAGGTTTGTACCATGGATTTCGTATTTTTCGTTCGTATTTTAACATCCCCAGTGTCGAAACCAAAATTCTGAATTCCCAGACGCTAGAGTTAAAATTTCTGATTTTCAACAGATTTTCAATTTCTGATTTAATAAGTGAAAATTTTATATGAAAACTCAATTTTTTGTAACCTAAATTGGAGCGAGAATTTTTTGTGAAATCTGACAAAAAAAAATTTCTCCCGAGTCTATGGCTCTCGCTTGTCACATGCATATAGATAGGCCTATTACTTATTGATCTCGATCTGTAAGTATGTTGATAGGTATTTGTCTGTCTGGTTGTCTGTTAGATACACGTGATATTTCACGAAAGCGAGGTTGCATCTGCTCTAAATTTGCATTTGCATCCATCATATCTCGGACCAGAAGCCTATTAATTTTGGATGAATTATGTCATATAATTAGCGAGTTATCAATTAATTAGTGATGGGACACGTGGTGTCGCTATTGAGTTAGAGCGAAGGATACACGCCGCTAAATCGATAAGTCGGCAATCTCTGATCGATATCTCGGTTAAGTAATTGGTTGCAAAAACACTTCTTTTTAAGGATCTTGAAGTGAAAAACAAGAACCAGGAAAAAATTTTGAAGCGGAAAACTCAAGAAGTTGCTGCTATACAGAAGAGATTGAGAAGTGGTGAGTTAAGTTTTAAATGAAACATTGTTTCATCGTTCTATCATGCTCCTCACTACCTATGGTTCAACTTGGCTACTAAAATTAAATGCAGGCTGGATATATTATAGGCCCAATCCTTATCTGAATGGTCCCTTCTATAAAGGACCATTGGACTCTCATATAGACAGCTGGTTAGGTATATGGACAGAAATATTGGTCCGAAATTCGGGCCGGGCCGGGCCAGAAATGTCAATCACTACTTTCGGGTCGAGTTGGGCTTCTCTATCGCTGACTTTTTTTTTTGAATGAGATGTTTTGGCCACGAGAGACGGTGTTCTGCAAAAAAACAGAAGTTGCCTCATCAACACGACACATACTGTACTCTTGCAATGAATATTCAAAAAACTCCTAAATGAAATGTGAAATTCGGGTTTGCTTCGGGCTCAGGCCTGCAAATCCAGTTAATTAGTCGGGGTCGGATTTAATACCCACGGGCCTGGGTTGGCCCGGGCTGGAATTTTTGGGCCTGATCTTACCTCTAGTCTAATACTTGTTGCCATTGTAATATTTTGAAAAAACCTCATCTCCCTGTCATTTCCAGCAAAATCTATCTCTCCTGAGGAGCCAGATGACATCGATGAGCAACGTCGTTGGTTAGATGAGGAGGTAGAAAAAGCACTCGATCAACAAAAACTACTCAAACAACTTGAGGATGCACTCAGAGCACGGGAGGCTGCTGTAATCAGAAGAGAAGAAGCAATCCAAAGGAGAACAGCTTTGGAAACTAAGAAAATGAGATCAAGTCAGGTGAGATGAACCCTAAAGCAGTGCTTCGTAACGTTTTTCAATTCGAGACCAACTTTTGTTGCCATTTTTTCTGTGCGGCCCACAATGAAGTGTTAATATATGAGAAAATAAACGAGGTATTCACATGCAATTTACTCTAAGTGCAAAATCCGATCTTGCATATTGGGTATTATCAGATCAAGTCTGATAATGACACAAAATTCTTATTGTTACATTGTTTCGTAATGATAATGCCACAATTTCCCGGCCTCATTGAACCCCCCCTTTTAAAAATCCTGGCTGCGACCCTGCTTGCATTATATACATATAGTTCTACCAGCACGAATCATAAAACAAGTATAAGCAGTTGTTCTCACAGAAATACATTTAATACAAATTGTTACATTTTCCTTTGCTTTGCACAAGTTTCTGAATTGTTAATACTTATAGGTCATCTCATCTGAGGCATTACAACTTGCTTCTAAAATGGCTTCAGTCGATCAGAAATTATCTGCAAGGACTCAGCAACTGAGAGATAGTCTTACCTTGACCTCTGACCGGGGTCATCAAGGGTCATCGACAAATAGACAACACCAACTGAAAAGTGCGATAGAAAGACTGCAATCTGAGAAAATACAACTCGAAGAAAAACGGAGAAGATTGGAAGAGAAGTTACAAGATGGGGATGTCTTGGATACTCAGGTGATCATCTTTTTTATGAAATTTTACATGAACCAGGGTCCATGTGGCAACTTGGTACTCCTAAAGTATGTTAACCAAGATGGCGAACACCGGAACATAGTATGTGTACCAGGTTAGGGTTAGGCCATAACTTCAGGTACAAATACTACGAGGGTCACTTGGCTAGTCCCCGAACTAGTAATGGAACTAAAATTGGAGTAAAATTATGGCCTAACCATAACCTGGTACACATACTACGTTCCAGTGCCCGCCATCTTGGTTTGCATACTTCGGGAGTGCAGACAACTTGACCATCGACGGATGGTTCTAAGCATTAGGCTTCCACCAGCAACAAGAGAAAGGATTTATTGCCTTTGCCAAACCGACCACAAAAAACAATAGGTATATATAAAATAAGAATTTCAGTTTTTGGTTGATAACTAGATGATAATGATACAACTGTAAATGTCATCAGAGTCGGTTACCACCTCAAGTCCATACATCTGAAAGAAGTAACTGGTGCCATACTCGACATGAACTGGTAACCAGTTGAGAGGCCATGGGGGCATCATATAATTATACCATCTTATTGGCTTCCCTTTCCACTGAGATAAATATGATATTCCTAACTTGAAATTTTGACATGATGTATCAAGGATAAAAGGCCCAATGTTACTTTTAATTATAAACTCATTTTGCCAAATTTTTGTTTCTATTTAGGATGAGAGAGAACTTATTGAGCTTGATGAGGCTGTAGAAGCACTGACTGCTGCTATCGAGTGGCAAGACGATACAATTATGCGGACAAGTACATCAAAAGATTTGAGAGAAAGCAGATTGAAATTGGCGAGAGAGAGGAACTCTGGACTCCAGAAATATATTAAAAGTTTGTCTGGAACTGAAGCAGGAATGCTGCTCACTAAGTGTTTTGAAAGGGTAAGATTGGCTTTCTATTAGAGCAGCAGTTTCCAACAGTAACCCATGGCCCCCCAAGGCAATCACAAAGCAGTCGGAGGGAATCACAATGCTGGGCGCAGAACTGATTTTACATTTCTCTTTCCAAGAAAACTCCCAGTTCTTTCCATTTTCATAGCTTGATAAGGTTATTTCACAGGGTGTTTTAACTTTGTTGAGCATAAATTGTTCCAACATGATGGGATTTGGAATACACTAATCAAATTAACACTATAAATGCTACTGGAATGATAAACAGCGGACCATGAGTTCCGAAAGCCAGGGGAAGGACGCCATAACAGTTTGGGAACAACTTTATCAAAGTTACATGAGTTTGACTACTTATGCTTCCCCCATGGCAGAGATTCTTAACAGAATAAATTTGACCTGTCTTGGGGAAAATGTGTAAATAGGTTGAGAGCCTCTGCTTTATGCTCACCATGCAACTGCTGTAGCAAGATTAAAGACGATCATTTTATATCAGTGGTTCCCAACCCTTTATGGCTCATGGCTCCGCCGCAGGCTTTTAGCACTTGTGGCCCCCTGTTCATCATGACAAAAAATGACGCACTATTATGTACTACAATATAGTGTATGTTGTGAATTTACCATTTTCATGGGATATAAAAACAAACCAAAGGATAAAAATCAAAAATGTTCGATGCACAACCTGTTACAATAGTGTTCAGGTAATGCAATTACAGGAAAAAAAGGATTTCTTTCGAAGGGAAAAGTATGTAAACGAAATATCATTAAAAACAAGCTGTCATGTAGTATTGCGGCCTCCCTATGACCGCTCTGTGACCCCCGGTTGGGAATCACTATTGTATATGATTCGAGAGTCGTGTGCTGCACACCAATGCAATTTCTGTAACATTTCTTCTAACCCTGATCTATCGCCGAATTCCCCCTAAATATAAAATCCGATCCTGAATTCTTTCTGAAAGTGTATTGCACTTATACGAAGATTTGTCATTTCTTAGGTTATAGAGCTTCGTGAATATGAACAAACTCTTGAAAACAAGTTGACAGATATGGAAGCCAGATTGAATAATAAAGACAGGGCTGTGTTGGAAGCTGAGACTGCATTGAACAGGTGAGTTATAATATAAGTATAAATTTATTTCGACTCCGTAATCAGCATAACAATAAAATTATTGGTAAAAATAAATAAATAAAACTGATTATAAAATCAGGAGAGCAAACAAAACCTTAGATCAGGTTTAAAAACGTACAGAATATAAGATGGAAGGTATTGCCAAGAAGAAGTGGTACGTGTTCACTCACTTAATTAATTAAACTAATTGAAATATTTCACACATGCTCACATGTACCCACTCACTCACACAGAGAAATTATTATTTGTTTTTGAAACATGACTTGAGTGGGTGGGCGGGCCTTTTTTTCTAGTCCGAGCACATAAGTACAAGTTCAGGCACAAAAATTTCTCCTCTTGAAGATTTTGGGCGGCTTGAAACACCATTAAGACCAACCAGTAATTTTTCTTTCTATTTGCAACATCTTGACTTAATAGATATGTCGTTGAAAGCGACAGACGCTTCATGGAAATGGAAAAACAGCATGAAAAGAGGACGCAACAACTTATCAAACAATTATCAGGTAAATTTGAATCGTGGTGATGCCTTTCATAAAAGGGTCGGCAGCCTTCTTTTAACATTTGACTTGAAAATTATATTACTGTTGGTAATACACATCTGTAAATGAGTTTGCGAGGGAAAGATAGAAATTGGACTTTTCCTTCAAACCTTTTTTTTTACACCTCAGTTTCTACCTGAGCTTAGATCAGTGGTCCCCAACCCTCATGACTCGTGGCCCTTTTTCAGAGGATTTTTCACTCAGCTTTGGAAACGACCCTCTGAATATTTCGAAAGAAACTTTCCATTTCAGCACTGCCTACCCAATTTGTCACATGGGTGGGCATATGGTTGAAACTCACGATGGGAATTTTGTCTTTGCGTTGCATATTAAATACAGATTATCAATTTAGATCCAGATAAACCAAGCAATCCTGCTACTAATGATGATGTGTTAGAACTTCAATCAAAGATTCAAGTTTTGGAGAAAGATTTGGCTCATTATAGGACAACAAATAGGTAAGTTCCCATATTGGACACAAAGTTCAGTTTCAGATATTTATTTTTCATCATGCAAGAATTGATGTATGAATTGATTAATATGTAAATAATGGCATGAAAATAACAATGAGATGATATATAATACGAAAAAAACGTACATGCGGTCCATAGCAGTTGATATGGGTTGCGAAGGACTATAAAGGTCATCGGATCAGCGACATTTACCCTTAGATAAATGTGGACGTCCAACTCAGCTTGCAATATGGTGCTCCAGTCACTTAGACGTTACCGTATTTGTGCCGTAGTTGTCATGGTTATCTGCCAGTCAGCGTTCGGAGTCGTTTGCTTAGTGAGTCCGGAAATATTCGGTCTTTTTAAACATATTTCTGCCAATGTTAGTATTTTGGCGTCCGACTCCTCACTTTAGTACTATATTTAGTTCGATTTTTGTTCTTGTATAACCCAATGTTAGACTATTCATAGGTGTCATTGCTCGATAACCAATGCTGGTTTATCGCGTCCCCTTTCACCCTGAAATGCATTATTTTCCTCTCTTTTCTTATCTCGTTCTGTATGTACAGTGTGTATTTCTTGGTGATAAAATAAATTACTGATTACTGACGGGGCAGTGCTTGTGTGGAAGTATCTAATGCGACTATCACATATGAAACAGACTGTCTATAACAGTGATTCCCAAACTTTTATGGCTTGTGAACCCCTTCCGCAGGCTTTTAGCACTCATGGTTCCCTGTTTATCATTCCAGTGAGTGGTATTATGTCAGTAGAATCCAAATCCCATTATGTTCAACAATTCATGATTAGTAAAAGTGAAAACATCCTGTGAAATTTTCATCTCGAGCAATGAACCTAGGAAGAACTAGAGACAAGTAAAATCAGTTCTGCACCTAGCATTGTGGCCCCTCTCCAACCGGTCTGTGGCCCCCATTTAAAAAACCGCTGGTCTATAAATAAAAAGATTCGATAATGCGTTCTGACTCGTATTTCTTATCACTGACTGCTCTTATATTTTTCTTTGATCTGATTGAAGTTGTGAAAAACAAAACAATTACATACTGCATATTCTTGTATATAAACCGAGTATAAAACTAATTTTTTTTGTCAAACTAAGGGGGCGGCTTATACGTGCATGAATGGTTGTCATGCTTGCGTGTTAACGCTATGACAGCAATAACAGTCTGTGATTGGCTCTTTCAGTGGATGGGTCAGTCAGTACAGGTTGAATTTGACGGATTTTAAGACACTTCTTACTGATAATAATGAAAATAAAATATAACAATAATAATTATCATTTTCATTAATTCTCTTCTACAACCATTTGCTGTGATAGGTGGGTGCGGCATGCTACGACTTGTAGGCTTATATGCGAGGATATACTATAAATATATTTCAATACATAATCATCATTGGAGGCTGTAACAGCGTGTTAATAATTTACTCTATTTTCTATCATTGAAGAGATCTGAAGAAAAAACTCAGAGAGGTTCTAGCAGATGCTGGAATAGGAGATGACATTGTCCTTTCTGCCAGAAGTAATTCTGAATCTGAGATGAGAAGTGCAAGAAAAGATAGAGATGGTGAGTGGTGTGACCTGAGATAACATATTTTGACAATAAATTTCACTTTATAATTTTTTTTATTTATTTATTCCCGTAACAGCTCATTCTCCTGACAGTGCAGTGGCGAGTACAGCATCAATATCTGGTAAAAGTAGTAAACACCATCCAAGCAAAAGCATAGAAAATGAGAACGAAAAACAAAGATTTGGGAGTCCTAAACGACAAAAACGAGCTGTCACACGTCAGTCAAGTGGAGACATGGTTTTAAAAGATCCTCGGCCCTTGTCAGCAGATATTAACAGCGTTCCACTAAGCCCAACGAAGCTATCTTCCAACCCTAACTTGGGGCCGTTACGCAGGTCTCGTCAAGAGCCTCACCCAAGCCATATTCACCCATCTATCCCCACAAATTCAGTTGAATATCTCGAATACCAGGATCTGAATCAAAATTTACCCTCTTCTAGATCGGGGTCAGGGGGTCGAAGGTTAAGCCCCAACCATTCCCAAGATCCTCTCCTATTGGCCAGCCACCCTTCCACCAACCCCACAACGTCGCACAACCTGATTACCGCATCTTTGAGTGTTACTGATAGCATGACCTTGGGGTCAACGGGTTCAAAGTTCAACCCTAGCCCCATGCAGGCTTTCGCAGAGAAAATAGGCGACAGCCCGTCAAAGCCCCCTAAAATGGACCCCACAATAACCCCAGTTCGTATTTCAAAAAAAGATTTGAAACGTCTTCCGAAGACCGAAATTACACAGCGTAAAACAAGCTTATCCAGTATCGGGGATTATCCTCAAGGTGGCGCTAAGCAGTCTGGAATCCATGCAGCGGGACCTGGTCCGTTACAAGATTCATTGGAAGGATTCAAAAACCCTTGGTAGATTGGAATCAATGACTCTACCCAACAAAAATTAAAGACAAAACTGAATAATTAGCCATACAAATAGACTATAAAAGGGTGAATGGAACATGAAACATATATCACTTTCACTCCAATGAGCAACAATTTCAAGAAAGTCCCTGTTGTTGCTTTGCCTGATTTGTTATCCCCTGGGTGAAATGATGACCAGGATGTTGGAATACTTGATCTTTGACCTTTATCGGTACAGTTAGGTCTAACGTATATGTTCCGAACTCGGAAGTTTGTTTTGACTTGTCGTACACACCATATAGTCTCTTTTCGATTTCTGTCTGATTTTAAATTCGAATTCCACCATTAAAACTCCCAGCTCATGGAAGTTTGAAAATATGGTTCTGACTCCAATATTAATGGAAACTTGCCACCAAACTCTGTCTCCGAAGTCTGATATGAAACAGGCAAACAGTATAAATGAAATTCCAAATTCGTAAAATATTGTTCAAATGCTTAAACGTGGACAAATTAAGCTTGCTTTATACTCATATTTTTGTTTACTAGGAAGAAACTGTTAGCATAGTGCTATATTGCCATTTTGCCTGTAGCCTTTTATATTTTTGTATTTTTCAACGTGTTTTATGTCCACTGTGTAATTAGTGCTATGTTTTTAATGGTCTTATAGAATAATCCGACTTTTAAAATCGTGATACACAATTGAACCTGAACCCGTTTTCGTTGTCGTCGTAGGCTTAAATAAAAAGTAAGACGTTTTTTTTTTGCAATTACAGATTGGATAGTTTTGTAATTTGTTTAAACAGAAATTTAAATGCACGAGCATTCAATACCCGTTTTGTATAATGAATTTGTAATGTTAATTTGAGTCGGACTTCTCCAAACCCTCTGAAAACCCCTGTATTCGTTGTTGTAGTGAGTTTAAATAAGAAACGTGTTCCACAGATCTGGTAATTTATTAGGGTCACTGTTAATATATTTACTAATTAGACACATTTCATATATGGAATTTTGTAACATTGAGATTTTAAAGAATTTAAATTCGTTGTTGTAGTGGGTTAAAAAGGTAAATTTTTTTCAATTCGGCGACATTTTGGTAATTTTGTAGGTCTGAATGTAGGTTTTAATGTATTTTACATTCTTTGTCACATTAAATGTTCACCAGAGTCAAAAAACACTTTCAAAAAAATATTTCAATACGCTGTTAAAGAAAAACATCTTCTGTTAAAGAATTGGTTAATTTTTTAGTTCAAAATTGAAAGAATTTCACACCCTTCCATATATTTTTTAATTTTAATATGTATGTGATTCAAGTCTCATTCAAAATTCATTTAAGTAATAATACACAATTGTAGTTAAACCCAAATTCATTGTTGTGCAGTTTTTAAATAAAACGAATACGTTTTTACCCATTTTTGATTCACTAAATTTTTTCGACTGAGCTTGTACCATTTCGCAGACTCAATATTGTGATTCTAATTTCTTCAAACCAGACTTTTTTCAATTATGATTAGCGATAACATAATGTGAAGCCTCTGTTTAGTGTTTAGATCCTTCGTGTTTACACTCACTGCATGAGAATATAAAAAAATGTTTGAACACTTTGAATGGGTTGATGTCCCTTGCGGAAAACCTAAAGTAGGCATGAATGAAATCAAATTTACGTACGTGCAAGCGCCATTTCAATCAACTTCTTGCAAAAGGAATAAGGAATGTGCTGTTCCAATATACGCTAAATGTACCATATTTGTGTTGGTTTTTGTAGGGGCTTTTTCATTGTTCCAGGCCTTGTCTATTAAAATAAACTAAACTAGTAATCGTCAATGTATGCCTAGTTAATGTCATTCCCTTGTTTCTTCAGCTTATAGTTTCATATAGACGTTGTTTTTTATTGTTTGTAATAATTGTACAATTTTATAATACATATATTTTTTACAGTGTCTATGGTGTCTGACTAATAAACCATACAGGGGTGGGCAATTACTTTTCTGAGTGGGCCAGTTACAAATAATCGACTTGGTTACTGGGCTGGAGGCTCAAAACCAAGGCTGCCCAACCCGCGGGCCGCATGCGGCCCACCAGACTGTTTTTTGAGGCCCGCCCATAAAGTTTTAAGCAGACTTATGTTTTTACTATGTTATATATAAAATTTAGGGGCTAAATTATGTTTCGTGATTTTGGTGTAAATATTCCTGCCATCTATCTACATTCAAATGCCAGTTCTTGTTATTACGTATGTGTCAAGGCTTGCACCCTGATGGACATCGATGTTCATTTTCTTTTTATTTCTTACAAAACTGAGCGTTCTGTTCGACGAACTCGAAAGATATTGTGCGATCATTGAGGACGAACGCTGAGCGCAATTATAGGAATGAATTTGAAGTCTAAATTTGCAAACTAATTTCATTTTGATTGTTTTCTTACGTGTCGGCTTTGATCGTATTTATGGACAACGTAAAATTAAAAGTCAACAATATCTTTGGTACTGGTCCCCGGACTCGTTGTCCTCTTATGTTTGTTTGTTTTTATTTAATTTTTGGGTTAAATAGGATTTCGGAAATGTCGTCACTGCGTATCCATCAATGATTCTGATGAAATTGACTTAATGGCATTGCAGCATATTGATCACAAATCAGTATATATGGACTATTCGTGCAGAAATTGTTGTAATGTTACTTCATTAAATACTTGTATAGGTGTTTCAAATTTTACGAAACGGCCCACTTGAATTTGACATTCCCGCGACCTGTCGCACATTATGCTCATTTAAACATTGTTAGTATCATAGCTACTGAAAAATCAATAATAAAAACACTATAACGCAAATATAACAATCAATTTCGACGTGATGTGTATGTTCTCGTGTGGTCGTCAAAACGTAAGTGTCATGTCCACGCCCCGTGTTACCAGATATTCGAATAGTTAACTGCTATTCTAATATTCGACTTGGTATTCGAATAATTTGCCAGCCCTACTCAGTAACCAGAGAGCAATTAATAACTTGAATAATTTTATGTAAACTTGCCTTTTACCTATTATATAAATTACATACACCGAAATCAGGACTTAGCTGGTATTAATGTTTGGTACAAACGTTTGAGGCCCGCAACGAATTTTGTCACGTGAAAGTGGCCCGCGAGACGAAAAAGGTTGGGCAGGCCTGCTCAAAACTCTATATGAAAAACTAAGAATAAAACATTTTATTTTCAACAGGTAGGCTAACGTTTCATATTAATAAGCACAATGTAGCAATCAATTATAACGTTATTATCGTCTCTATTTCGAACGAAATTCATTTTTGGACACGTAGTGGACATAACGATCGTTTCAATATTATGTTGTTGTTGTTGTTCTTGTTCTTTGACACGTTTTTAAAAAGTCGCTTTTCTCTTTGATTACTGGACTAATTGCTTTGAAATTTTCAGTGGTTGAAGATGAAATTTTTCTCCAGAAGGCTATTACTTTTATTTATTTCAAATATTTCTGTTAGCTCTGTAAGATTTGTTTTTGTTTGCTATGACGTCATTAAACGTTCTGCGGATATCGGACGCCATTTTGTGTCCAACGGACCATCTTGCAATTTCAATTCACGCTGTCACAAGACAGGACCTTCTAAAGATAGAGAAGTTCTGGTACCGTAACACAGCGCGGTGACACTGAACTAACTCGTAGCTGTCAAAAGCTTGAAAATCCATACAAATATGAGAAATAAAAAGATGAAACTTGGCAGGTAGGTAGAGTTGTGTTTCTTTTAACCATATTTGAAAGTTTCGCGTTTTTACATTTGAAGGAGGGGGAATAGGGGGTGTGCATTTCCAATACGTCGATAATATCTTTGTCAACCAATTTGCGGCCACCGTGTTTTCGTCTGTTTGATTGCTGTGATGGGGTGCTTTGTTTATAATTTAACGAGTTTTGTTCGAAATAACCGTGTTCTTGAAATATATGACGGTCAGAAATGCAAATAGAAGCCCAATGTTTTCACGCTGTCACAAGACCAACAATTGTCAACCAATTCGCGACCACCGTGTTTTGTCTGTTTGATTGCTCTATGGCTGCGTATGCGATAGTCTCGACGCAGCAGAAACGATGATCAAGGCTTGAAATCCGTGGTCGCACACTGGTCGCAAATACGTCTTTCGAGTGCCGTACTTCAGTACTTTGGGGATTTGTATAGCTTTAACCCTTTGTCGTAGAAAGTGAATACGAGGTTTAGCGTGTAGAATAAATGCCGCCAATGCACCCACGGTGAAAAAATTAACGGGTTAGATATATTGGTTTTTGTTTTATAGCGGTTTGAATGAAATTGTCCGCAGACTGGCTACACCACCCTAGGCCTGGTGAGTTGTCCGTGTAGTCGACTTGTCCATCAGCCCTAAACGGCTATGACAGTCACTGTACCAAAAATTGTACCCCGATTCGGCTGGTGTTAAGTTGACGCATGTTATTTAGTAACGTTTTTATGTGAAATGTTTGACTGTGGTTCGGTACCTGATCCGATAATAGGGTACATAATTGACTCATATCACGAGATATTTCAACTGATGTTTCAAATGTCACAGGACCTAAAATATCTATGACAGTCCCTGTACCGTCACGGTACCCCAATACAGGTACTGGTAAGTCACCGCCGGTATGTTAGTCGTTGGTCACCGCATATGATTTTTGGGGAATTGTTCTGCGTGTCCATATATTTGAGCATTGCTCTCTTGTCATAAAAACTATAGTCGTTAATTAAGCAGACGCTATTGGGCCGAAAAAAAAACTGTTTGATGGACCGGATCGGCCCCGGGGGGTGTAATTTGCAAAACACAACCCTGGCAGCTATTCAAGGGAATAAATAGTCTTTGTCAGTGTAAGGTGGTGTGTATACACGCACAACTATATTGCTATTGCATACTTTATTCACATTCGAAACAGAACACATTCTAGATAAATAAACTTAAAACAACTAATGCACACTGTACCAACTCATAACAGCTAATGTCACACAGTACAGGTGATAAGTACAGAACTTAGAAGTAACATTTAGACATGAACGTACACGGGTCAAAAGTCACTTTATTACAGTCAGGACTTTTTAACTGGTGGTGAGGTGAGATTCGCGGGACAACTTGCTAACCGATCTCTCACCCGCAATGGCGGTCCGCCATATGGTTAAGCCGTCTTATTGACTTTCACTCCTCCGGGATTAATATAAAAACCCTATCTTGTCGCCTAGCAATAAATGTGGTATTGTAACGTCACCATGTATCAATAACGATGATATGCATTGTTAAGTCATAAATGTTTGCGTCATTGTGACGAATATGACCAACAGGGAAGGCTTCACCTTGAGCGAGCGAGTTTTCCGTCTAGGTTGGTCTGGTGTTCGTAAAAATAATCCAAAACCTACTTCGTAAATTTAAGAGACAGGAAAATTCTACATTTTTCACAATGGAACTATGAATGAAAAGCAGACAAACGACTTCATCCTTTACCCGTTGCAATGAAGGGACCGGAGTACCGGTAGGACAACTTTTCTTTCTGATGAATGTTCGCTCAAGAACTAAGCAGTCAGGTTAGCTAGATTTAGAGTGTTGAATATCACAGTAATCTTATTGAATTGCAACCGTCAGGGAATCGCACGGGGACTCGTTCTTGTTTTGGACGTTAGACGGCCACAGCAAATAGGTAACGTACGACAGGGCTACTCAACTGGCGGACCGCGGTCCGAATCCGGACCTTCGAGTATTGGATTCGGAGCGCACCTAATTCTTTATTTTGGTTCATTGGCCCCACTTTTGCAGTTTCCTTTCATAAAATGACTTTTACAGTTTTGAAAAAAACTATAACCCCATAATAAGCAATGTTGATTTGCTAATAATCATTTGCCGACCGAGGAAGTGCGCGTTTGAGGCTGCCGAAATATAATTTCTGGAAAGACCGGACCCAAATAATTTTGAAGTTTTGTATGCGGATCTTTGGTAAGAATAGTTGATTAGCCCTGACGTACGGTATGCATTAAGAACCACTAGGACAGTGGTTCTTAAACTGGGGGCAAGAGGTCACAAGATGGAATCGAAAATTTCCATGCAATACGTCTCCTGAAACGGTCTTCGGTTCGTTAAAAATGCCTGCTTTTTCACGATATAATACCCCTTTTTTGTCCCGTAATATTCAATCTATGACAACTACAAGAATTCGAAATGTCTCTCTATTTTACTTCATTTGTGTTCAAGGTAGCTCGCGGTTGCGACGACTCATGACAAAATAAACTCATTACAGATCTAAAATACCACGTTAATCCCTGGACATAAGTAGGTGGGATCAACTGACCGACAATAATCAGTTTTGATATATATTGCGCTCATGCAAATTCGTTATTGTCGTTAGAAAGATCTGATGTAAAATCTCAGAAAGTATATATTCAATGTAGTACAATGAAAATACATATATTATAGTATATTAGTAAATCAGAAATACATATGGATTGCCCCATAACACACGCGGTACGACTCCTGGGTCAGTTGTTGAGATTACACCACTCGTTAAAATAGCCGACTTTCTCAATGGATATGTATTGGTTTTCCTGTTGAGTAAAACATTCAATCCATGATCGATATAAATATTTGAAATGGTTGCTTTATCCACACTACAGGTGTGCCGCGGGAACAAGGAATATACGAGATTTGCGATGTCTAAGAAAGTGTTTTTAATCTGTCGTGTTCCATCCCATAACAAAACTCGTTGGTGTTTTCCGTTTTAGTATTTTATAATGCCGTTTTTTCTATCAAGAAATTCTTGGTTGCGGATTCACTTCTTTATTTTATTCTTTGCATCTCGTCGCTGATGATTATATAATGAAAACCAACTCGTTTTCCCCACAAGTATCATGGTTCCATGCGAGAACGCAAAAAGTAATTATATATCATGTCTTCGCGGCACAAAATATTTGTTGAG